TATAGAGACAGAGACAGAGACAGAGACAGATATAGAGATAGAGAAGGAGACAGAGAAAAAGAAAAAGAAAAAGAAAAAGATAGAGAAAGAGAAAGAGAAAGAGAAAGAGGAGACAGAGAGAGAGAAAGAGGAGACAGAAGAGACAGGAACGGAGACAGAGAAAGAGACAGAGAAAGAGATAGAGAAAGAGAGAAAGAAAAAGATAGAGAAAGAGACAGAGATAGAGAGAAAGAAAGAGAAAAAGGAGACAGAAGAGACAGAGAAAGAGAAAGAGGAGACAGCAGGGATAGCAGCAGCAACGAGGATGAAGCTGCTGCTGCTGCTGCTGCAGCAGCAACAAAAAAAACAGCAGCAGCAGCAGCAGCAGCAGCAGCAGCAGGCATGCAGGGGGCCCTAGCTAAGGCTAGAGAGGTGCTGCAACGAACAAAGGAGCAGCAGCAGCAGAAGCTGCAGCGGCAGCTGCTGCTGCAGCAGCAGCAGCAGCAGGAAGAGGAGAGAAGAGTACAAGAAGCAAGAGAAAGAGCATTGCAGCAGCAGCTGCAGCAGCAGCAGCAGCAGCAACTGCAGCAGCAGCAGCAAGCTGCTCAGTTTGCTGCTCATCTTTATGCTGCTCAGGCTGCTGTTGCTGCTGCTTCTGCTGTTTCTGCTGCAGCAGATACAGCAGCAGCAGCAGCAGCAGCAGCAGCAGGAGGAAGAGACAGAAGAAGCAGCAGCAACAGATATCTACTCTCGTCTAGGAGAGAAGCAGCAGCAGCAGCAGCAGCAGCAGCAGCAGCAGCAGAAGGAGACAAAGAAAAAGAAAAAGAAGGAGACAGTGATAGAGAAAGAGAAGGAGACAGATATAGATATAGAGACAGATACAGAGAAGGAGACAAAGAAAGAGAAGGATATATATATAGAGAAGGAGACAGAGAAAGAGAAAGAGAGAGAGAAAGAGAAAGAGAAAGAGAAAGAGAGAGAGAAGGAGACAGATATAGAGAAGAAGGAGACAGATATAGAGACAGAGAAGGAGACAGATATAGAGGAAGAGGAAGAGATATATATTATAGAGAAGGAGACAGAGAAAGAGAAGGAGACAGATATAGAGAAAGTGAATACAGCTATAGGTATAGAGGAGATAGATATAGAGAAGAAAGAGACAGAGACGGAGACAGAGAAAGAGAAAGAGAAGGAGACAGAGAAAGAGAAGGAGACAGAGAAAGAGGAGACAGAGAAAAAGATAGAGAAAGAGAAAGAGAAAGAGAAAGAGAAGAAAGAGGAGACAGATGGGGAGGAGACAGAAACGGAGGAGACAGATACAGAGGAGGTAAGGAAAGGAAACAAAAAAAAAAAAGCAGACAGAAAGAGACAGAAAGAGAAATAAAAATAAATAAATAAATAAATAAATAAATAAATAAATAAACAGAGACAGATATAGAGAAAAAAAAGAAAAATAAATATAAATAAAAAGAAAATAAACACAAACAGAAAGAGACAGAAAAAAACAAATTCATATTTCAGGTGTATAGGCACCTCTCGTATATTCTCTTTTATTTATTTTTATTTATTTATTTATTTATTTATTTATTTATTTTATTAATATATTAATATATATTTAAATATACTTATAAATAAAAATAAACAACTTTTCTCTTTTTTTATTTCTCTTTTTCTGTATATTTCGGGTGTACAGGCAGCTCCCTTTTTTGTTTTTTTTCTGCCTCTTTATTTTCTCTCTTTTTCTTTCTCTTTTTATTTATTTATTTATGTATTTATTAATTTTATTAAAATATTAATAAATATTTAGCTATATAAATAGAAAAATTAATTTTTTTTCTGTTTTTATTTTTTGTGTTTTTTCTCTATATTTCAGGTGTACAGGCAGCTCCCTTTTTCGTTTTTTTCTGCCTCTTTATTTTTTTCTTTTTTTGTTTATTTGTTTATTTATTTATTTATTTATTTATTAATTTTAATGAAATATTAATAAATATTAACCTACACAAACCGAAAAACCAGTATTTTTTGTTTTTTTTTTTTTTTTCTTTATATTTCAGGTGTACAGGCAGCTGCAGCAGCAGCAATGGAGGGTTTAAGGTATATGGGTAGACTTCCTTTTGGGCCGAATACACCAAAAGAGGAATGGTTATTGTTTTTGGATTGGCAAACAAAAAGAAGAGAAAAAAGAGAAGAAATAAAAATATATAATTCTCTTTCTTTATGGGTAGATGAAGACAGACTAAGTCCTACTCGATGGAAGGTATCTACAAATACTGCTGCTGCTGCTGCTGCTGCTGCTGCTGCTCCTGCTGCTGCAGCAGCAGCAGCAGCAGCAGCTGCTGCTGCTGCTGCAGCAGGGGAAGGAGAAGGGAAAGGTAAAGGAAATGATAATGCTGCTGCTGATCCTGCTGCTGCTGCTGCTGCTGCTCCTGCTGCTGCTGCTGCTGCTGCTGCTGCTGCTGAAGAAGAAAGAGATAAAGTTCGTAGAGCTCAAATGACAGAAGAAGAAATTAAAAAACAAAAAGAATGGAGAGAAAGAATACAAAGAGCAGAAAGAGGGGGTACAGCAGCAGAAACATCTGCTGCTGCTGCTGCTCCTGCTGCAGCAGCAGCAGCAGCAGCAAACAGGAAAAAGAAAAACAAAAAACGAGCCAGTAGCAGCAGCAGCAGCAGCAGCAGCAGCAGCAGCAGTGATAGCAGCAGCAGCGACAGTGATTCTGACTCTTCTACAGCAGCAAAACCAAACCACCAGCAGCAGCAGCAGCAGCAGCAGCAGCAGCAGCAGCAG